AAAAGATCAAATGAACCACAAAGCTTTTATGTATTTATTTAGTATAAGTGAACTGTTTTAGTCAGGTAATGGGGATGTGTCCACTGCACTCTTTTATGCTTCAGATGATGTCCAGGAGGAGCTGAGGGGGAGACCGACAGGTGCAGGTTGCCGATAGGAAAAACCTTCCCTTCACTGATGCCGTCATCCATGAGACACAGAGACTGAGCAGCATCGTCCCCACTGCACTCCCTCACAAAACCACCAGAGACATCACTTTTCAGGGTCAATTTATTGAGAAGGTAACACTAACACACTTACTATGGAAAACCAAAGATATACCAAAGAAATATCTTGATGAAAAAAATAAAAGCAATATGGACAATGTCCTTTCAAGTTGGGGCCGGGATACACGACGACAGGCAGGTCAGCCTAAATGCAGACAAAGAAAGTTAGGTAGGCATTGCTTCTACTGATTTACCTGTCAGCAGGAAACTGAAGCTTACAGGGAGGTTGGCAGGAAAACTGCTGCCAGCAAAAGAGAGCTTTAAAATCAAACAGGCAAGAATTACACAAGTTATCGGAAAAAAACAACTAAAAAACAACAAAAGCACAAATTTTGTAAAATGTGAAACTGGAGAATAGATTATGTGCCTTTTAGTGTGCTGTTCTGTTTTTCGTTGTAAAGATTCACAATGCTCTTTTAAAAAAGAAGCTAAAGCGAGTGCAGAACCAACTGATAATTATAAAGAGCAGAACAAAGCAAAATGCATATGATGGATTCTAGTTTGAACACTCTGGAGACAAAGTAAGAGAGGCAAAGTTGAGATTGTTTGGACATATGCAGAGTGGGGGAATTAAGGATTTTGGACAATGGTGAAGACAAAGCAGCCAGGCAGGAGGAAAAGATGAAGACCACAGAGAAGATGTATTTAAATAGTGAAGGAGGACATGCAGAAGGTTAATGTGAAAGAAGAGGGCGCTAAAGGGAATAGCTGAAAGAAAAAAAAGGGGGAAGGTACATGCTGTTCACAATAATATTAGAAAAGAGTGCAAGAACGACATGCAGGCCATCAAATGCTATATTTAAAGTAAATAAATGCAGATTAATTTGGCCGTGCATCAGGAATGAGAAAAGGCAGCCTTATAAAGGATTACATCAGAGGGAAGGCTCAGGCTGAGCAGCTTAGAGACAAATTCAAAAAGCCAAGATTGAGATTATTTATACATTTGTTTGAGGAGGGATATTAAGCATGTTGGACAATGGTGAAAAAACAGCAGGCAGGAGGAAACATGAAGATAGCAGTGCAGGAAGACATGCAGGAGGACAGTGTGACAGAAGAGGGCGCTAAAGGCAGCAGATGAATAATAAAAAAAGAAGAATTACAAAACTCTTATAGAAGAATGCAAGTATTTTCACCAATATGCTGTTGATCACAGCCTATATGCAAAGGGGAAAAAAATGCTGATCAATTAATCTGTGTTGCAGCTCATCTGGATTTGTATTTCCCTCTTGTCTGGATATCCCAGCTGATTCAAATACTCCACCTTGAGTAATAAACTGTGGTTTTCTGGGGCGACAGAAAAACAAATTTAAATTAAAGTTAAATAACAAAATGTCCTTTTACTACCATAAAAATATAGAATATAGAATGTTTTAGTAATTACACAATGGAAAATGTATCGAATTTTATGGTAGAATAAATTAAAATAAATGGGAAATTATGTAATGAAATATCACCCATAAAAAAGTTTTAAGAAATATATATATATACTGTTGTTAAACTAGTAACTGGATTTGTATTCTACAGTGTTTTTGATTGTACTGTATATTTAATATTTCTTCACTGTTAAAAAGGTATTTAACATAAAACTATTGAATTTACCCTTTAAAGAAATTCTGAAAATGGCTTGTAACATACTGTTAATATCAAGTATATATTCATACTGATCAGACAGCCATTGACCATAACCCCGCTCATTACCTTTGCTAGAAGAAGTTTGTTAAGACATTAGTAACATAAGTAACTTCTGTAAGCTATTAAAATGTATCATATAAAAAGCATTTTCAGTTTGTGTATTGTAATTTTTGCAGGGAACCACAGTGTTTCCTCTCTTGACATCTGCCCTGTATGATCCCAACGAGTGGGAAAGACCGCACAGCTTTTATCCTGCTCACTTCCTGGACAAAGAGAAAACGTTTGTCAAGCGAGATGCCTTCATTCTATTTTCTGCAGGTTTGTGAGCTCAGCCATCACTGTTTAGGTTACATCTGCTGACAGGACAGCTGAAGTTGTTCTTTGATTGTCTATTACAGGTTGCAGGGTTTGCCTTGGAGAGAGTCTGGCCAGGATGGAGCTCTTCCTCTTCTTCACCACCCTCCTTCAGCATTTTCGTTTCATCCCTGCACCTGGAGTTTCAGAGGATGAATTAGATCTGACTCCAGCTGTGGGTTTTACTCTCAGCCCTTTGCCTCATAAACGGCGAGCTATTTCCCGTATGTAAGGAAACTGTATTTGAACGCTGTACCAGTCTTCTCTGAATCACGTTATTATTTCATGACATACAAGTAATCGTAATAGATTATGATTAGGTAAAGGCTTCTATGGAAATTTAAAAGTTTGCAAAGCCAGAGCTGACCTCTGGGCCATAGGTTTGATATCGATCCTTTAAATTTAAGCTTTTTGTACAGCTCCATCACATGAATCTAAGGCTACATTCACATTGCAGGCGAAAGCGCATCAAATGCAACTTTTTTGACCCTGTGCAACCCATATACGATCATGGTATGACAGTTTCGCTTTGAGGGTTCACACTAGAGCGCGTTTGCTGTCACATTTTATTTGTAGTGTGAACAAGCAGACAAAAAAAAATCCGATTTGATCAAAAAATCGGAATTGAGCATTAAGACCTGCAGTTTAAACATAGCCTAAATGAGCATTTTCTCCTGGAAATGGAGTCTCCAATTAGTTTTTTCATAAGTTGGTTGATTGTTTTGCTCAACATGTTCACTGTAACTTAAAATGTTGCGCAAGCACATGTTAATCTCTCTCTTGTTCATGAAGTCTTAATATTTTCTTCATTTTCTCCACAATAAACCTCTGATTTCTGTATATTTTGCTTCCAAAAAGCAACACTTTCTTGTCTTGTCAAAAGTGCTCCTTAGCAATAGTGCAGAGAGATGGATCTAGACCTTCAGTTCATTCATCTGGTGTTTGCTGAAGTGGCATCAGACGTGCTGTCAGTGGAAGGTGGTTGTCAAAAAGCCATTCTTATAAAAGAGAAAATTGTAATTGTAAATTGTTTGTTACAGCACACCTTAGTGTGCTGTAACAAACAATTTGTCCATAAGGTGGAGTTCTAAGTCAAGTTCCGTTACTACTGCAAATGTAGCAGCCCATTATTCAAATTGATGCGTCGAGTGCCACAAAAATATGACACATAATATGACACTCTTTATTTAAAAAACAAAAAACAAAAAAACAACAGGTCCTGTATATTATTGTGCCGCACATTTAATGTTAGGTGGGAGGTTTTCACGTGTCTACTTTGTTTCTAGTATGTTTCACATATAATTGTAACATCAGTAAAAAATAATAATAATTTTTTTTTTTTTTGTTATTTAAAAAAATGCATTCATTATTGACAGTTGGAAATCACAATAAAACTGATAACTCTATATTATGGGATGTGTGTGGATATCATTAGAATAATTTGACTGTAGTCTATTTGCTTAGTCAAAGGAGCTTGCAAAGAAAAGCATCTGGACTTCTTTAAGTTACTTGAAGACGTTTCACCTCTCATCCTGGAATCCAGGAATTCGCATGATAAGGTGGGGCCAGGTTTTACAATGAGCTCACCCGAAACTCTGGCTGATTGGGACCCACACCCAGTTTCTCACCTTGGCTCAGGCGATTAGAGGATCATCAGGGGGTCCTTTTGTCCCTCTGTGGGGGGATACTCCTACTAGGTTTAAATCTGGGACTCCCCACCATTTGACCTTAGAACTGAAGAAGCTTCTCGGATGAGAGGTGAAACGTCTTCAAGTAACCAAAGAAGTCCAGACGCTTTTCTTTGCAAGCTCCTTTGACTACGATGACCTGGATGACTGAGAACCTTCACAGTCTATTTGCTTAGGTTTCTTCCAATGTATTTAAACGTCTAGCCCCTAAAACAATATATTCCAAATCAACAGTTATAACAAGTGGAAGAAAATCCAATTTGTTGCAGATATATCACTTGTTGACCTCTTCGTCCATCAAAATTAACCAATCAGAGAGCACCATCCGATCCAAAAAAGGTAGCGAATACTCTCTGACCCGCCCCTCTTTGTTAGCTCGACCAATGAGAAGCTGTTGAGCACTGGCAACCGTAGGGGATACGAGCAACGGACAGATACGGGAGAACAGTGGCCGCTAGTAGGACCGTTTTATCCCCAATGACTTAATCACATGAGAGGGTAAAGAAGCGTTTTTATCACCATGAAATTGGATTTTCTGAGGAGGTAGCTGATATCGAGGCTCCTTGCAGGCTGCTGACAGGGAGAAATGCAGAGACGAGGTAATTTCCCCGTATTGTGGTGGTGGGAGGCAACGGCCCCCGCAGTGTTCCGAGATACAGCGGCAAAGCTAGCAAAAACAGTAGAGGGGAACTTCCTGGACGACGCTATCAAAATTAAAACATATCCACAGACAAATGATTTTTTTCGTTACGGTTCTGTGCATAATTACTGTTAACACGTTTTAGAAGCCTTACAGGCAAGCAAATGATGGAGCTGTGAGTGTGCTCTGGTGATTCGCAGTAATCAGTTATTATAAACGATTGACCAACGTACGGATTTTATTTTGAAAGGAATCGCGCTCTAATTCCTTGTTAGCAAATGTTAGCTTGTGCTAGCTTGACATATAGCAGAAGCGGTGAAGTTACAAAGCCTTGAACCAAAACAAGACTTTAAAGCCTGTGGTGGACAACGCCGCTTTGTTATGAATGGAACACACCTCGCCTTGGTGACTGATTTTCAGATCAAATGCCTTTTCAACCGGAAGTCCGATTGTTTATGTGAAATAGAAGCCTTCTTGGAAAACACGATACGGTCAGGATGATAACGGTTGGGATATTTCAGCTGATTCAATCAAAGGGAAAACTAAGTCGACATTAAGTTGCCTTTGCTCTGTTAAGTTACCCATTAATGGGATTTAATCAATTCATTCCGCAGATTGCTATATTGTGTCGTTGCGAAATAAATACTGTGTATTTCATACTCATGAGTTTATATGTCTGCTTATATGTGGATTTTTAATGCTCGGAAGGGTGTATTTTTTATCAGCTGTTGAGCTACTCTGGAATCAGAAGTTATTATTTATGCATATATTGTTTTTGGTACATTTATTGTCGACTGTTGCTGCATTTTTGGCTTCTTTATCACAATCACCCCTTTTCTTAAATACAGATAACGTTGATTTTTTTTTTTTTTTTGTAACAATTCAGTGGAAAGTACCTGAAAAAATCCCCACTGTGTTATACAAACACTTTTTGTAGTGATCCTTGTTGTGCAGTCATGTACATGTACTGTCGTTTTAAAAAGCATAGTTGAGTTAATGCGTTTTCTTTTTCTTTTTTTCCCCCATTACCAGGTTAGACCTTGAAGATCAACATGTACTTTGCACTGCTCACTAACAAAAAGAAGCTCTTGTAGCTGGAGGAAGATTGCCTGCCTTAACTTTTCCTCCTCCTCCTCTACTTCTTCCCGGGGCCAATGACTGGACCCAACTCGCCAAGCCGGACGGGCACCTCTACAGCCAAGCTGAGCAGGCATGGCCGGTCCAAGAGCACCAGCTCGCACTGTCTCCTCCGCTGCAGCACCCAGGAGTCCTCCTCTTTGTCTCCCCCAAAGAACAGTTCGAGATCCCCCGAGGAGGAAGAGGAGAAGGATGGAGGGGTTCTTTTCTACGTTAATCGATCTGGTTTTCCTATCGAGAGTGTCACCTGGGAGAGGATGTGGTCCCATGTGGCGGCCGTGCACCCTGACGGACAGGAGATGGTGGACAGGATACAAAATGCTACATACCTTCCCAAGGTAAGCCAGCTGGCCGAGGGACTGGGCCTTTTAAATTCTCTACTGCAACAAATGTCTTTATTAATTAAATTAGATGTTATGCTTAGACATCTGTTGGTTTGTTTTGATTTGTTACTATCGTTTATGTGTTACAGAAGTGCATGCCATTTTTACTCACCACAGTAGTAAGGTTGGAATTGTTTTTACCTTGTGTGTGTGAATGTCCTACTAAAGCAGGTGTTTGTATGTCTGCCTTTCAACACGAAAGGGTTCAGGTATGCATCTTACATCAAAATGAAGGCCAAGTTTGATAATGATTTGAGAAGTAACTTGCTCTGAGACAGGTGTGATCCTAGCGCTTTATGGACTCTAGTTTTTTATTATTTCATTACACTTAGATGGAGTTTATTGCAGCATTTTGGTGTTCACTGCATCCCAGTTTTTCTTTTGCCTGAGAAAAACTTAAAGGTGTCAGTGGTGCACTGGTAAAAACTGTGCAGAGGTTGCATACATTTCTTTCCATATGATCCAGTTTGTTAGGTTAATTGCTGTTCTTTAAATTGCTGTGGGGTTTTCCATCTCTCTGGAAACTATGATAGACTCCAGCATAAACCTGGTTGCAAAAGAAAACCTGGTTGGCATAGCACAAGACAGTTGAACTATTTTGTCTAATTTTCCTGCTAATTTTCCTTCTTTCTCATAACACCATAGCGTAATATTTCTCAGTTGAGCCAGAGGGCTTTTCAAATGGCATCACTGTGTGTAGTAGTAAAAATATAACAGTTAGATGTGCACCAAGGTTTCTTCACTGTTAATGGACCTTTTGTGAAGGGTTTCACTGAGCCCTCTGAGGTTCCTTGAATCTTCTCATCTCAAAGAAATTCAAAGATCTTCTGAATGTGCTGAATGTACTAGGCTGTCTAGTTTGTAGGGACTATATGATTGCCTGGGTTAGAGATGGGTATGTGGAATAGCCGTGTTGGGACATAACTCTGTCCTTACATAACATACTTGGCTGCCACAAGATATACTAAATCATTGAGAGCTTTTTTTCAACGAACAGATGGATTTTAAAAGCATTATATATAGTATATATTCTATATTATATCCTATCTTGCAATGCACTTACTCGTCATTTTTATTATTGATTAGTATGCTTGGTGTTTCCTTAATGAATCAAAGTGAAGCTTTTTAATTGTTTTTCACTTTCTGTCCTGTATGACATGAAATCCTCATGTCTGATTAGCTAAAACACATTTTAATTCTCACATATCCTATCTATAACCATCATTGAGTATAAACTGCTATTCACAGATTCAGTGATTAAAGTTGACTACATTTAATTGACTAACTGTTGCAGTTAGATGAATCTACACTTGTATGGATCATTTGTTAACATTGCAAAGAAATGTTTTTTAATAAATATATGTATCTGAGTCACTGCATTATAAAAAATACTGTTAGCTAGCTGTGTTAGCTCCTTCCTGTTGCTGTAACTGTTCCAACTTTAATGAGGAATTTATGTTTTTATAATGTTAGTCGGGGCGTCAGATAGTGTATCTCCAAGTCGTTGGCATAATGGTCGCCTTAGGTGTTGATGTCAGCCTGTTTTCACAGTCTGTTGTTTCTCGGATACACACTCTCAGGTGTACACACAGACAAATGCATGGCATTACCATGACAACAGTAGTGCTAAATTGAGCCACCATACCTGTCAGTTGAAATTAGTTCTGCATTTTGGATTTGTCACGTTGTGTGGGACTCGGTGTCACTTCTGAAACACACACACACACACACACACACACACACACAC